CATTGTTGGGCTCAGCAGTGTGTCGAGTCGGTTAGCTGCCAGCTACTCCACTAGTTCAAACTCGTTGGGTGGATCTAACGGCGCTGCTCGGCTTGGAGGGGCAATTTGCGATCTCGCGCTCTCGCTTGTTCCATTTGTTAGTTCATGTCAAATGAAATGAAAACCTGTAAACTCCTGTGAAGCTGGCGAAATGGTGCGAATGAGCCACTTTAATGACAGGAATTTGCACGTCTTGACAAGATGACCTGTAGAGACGTAGCTGGGTACCGTTTGGTGCCCCTCCAAGCCGAACTGCAAGAGTTCCACCCCCCGGACCCATGTTATTTTGCCAAGACGTGAGTACAGATGATTTTACCTGCTAACGATCAACTGCAAACTCGCCGGCTGTACCCGCTGCTCCCAGGGACAGTTGGCATGGTGGGGGCATATTTCTGGTCCCCATCGACCACTTGCCGATGCCTCTTGTAGAGGCTTGTGAATTCCTGTTGAGCTATGCACTACTACGAGCCTCGGTGATAGGTAGCAGGACTCTACAGCTCTAACCAAGGTGGAGCGTGTAAGTTGACGGGTAAGTGGAAATTAGGAAAAGCGACTGCCCCCCCTCGCTCATGCCGATCACCTCCCAACGTTCTACCCATAAGTCAACACACTACACTCTATCCCGCACTACACTCTACTCCAACAGCGCGTCGCATATCTTGTGCTGAGCGTGCGTCAAAACGTCTGGTTTTCTCCCCCGTCAGCTAGTAGGACGGCTGCTCCGAACAGCGTGCCGTGGTAATGCCTTCTACTGGGCGTATCCCCAACCAAGAACGTTACCTCTGTGGTGCTTTTTCAGACGCAGTTCGGCATGGTGGGAGCATTTTGCTGGTTTCAGTCGATCTCTGACGATGAATCTAGTGGAGACTTGTAGATTCCTGTTAAGTTGTGGAAAAGCAGGAAAAGCAGGAGCAGGAGGTGTCGTTCACATCTATCAAAAGTCTCAGGTCTCACCAAGGTGTGACACATAATTCAGCAGGAACTAGCAAAAGGATCTAGCAAATGTGCAAATTGCCCCTTTCAAGCCGAACAGAGCTCTTTTTTATGTTCATTTAGGGTTTATTGGGTACCTTGGGGAAATTAACCGTTTCACTCGATTTTCAGGTATGAGGTTGGCGCTTTTGTTCGCGATCGTCTTTGCGACAGCATTTGCTCGACATGTCGACCTACCTGCACCGTATTCTGATTTCTGTATTCTTCAGAACAACACCAATCTTTACGACCCACAGAAGCAGTTCGACATCCCTTGGTTAGTCGCCGGCAACTTTCATGCATCTCGAATAGGGCACGTCGGAGCAGTACGGCGACGGGGGGGCATTTTCTTGTTCTGCTGTTTCCCCTCGACGTGTTGATCCATCTAGAGAGCTATTTCATGAGCTCACAAGAGTTGACAGGTTTACCATGGTGGCTCGACGAGCTTGCTCCAGCTTCACAAGAGTTCACAGGTTTCACCAGAGTGAGACTTGTAAACCGGAACTAGTGGAACAGCGAAAGTGCAAAATTCCCCCCCCCCGTTGCCGCCGAACTGCGCCGGCGCGTCGTACATAGGGATCTCAAGCGAGGGTGGCTGTAGTAGATCACTGAGAGGAGGGGGAGGGGTCGCGTTTCGCTTCTGAGAAAAATGTTTTCAATCGTTGACTTTTCTCGGTTACTCCTGTCTCGAGTGCGTCATAAACACCCCTCCCCTCGCTCGACGGCAGTCTAGAAAGTATGTAGAAAGGTAGAAAGTTGAGATATTTGGACAGCTGGGCATAGACAGGGGTCACGCTAGTGTAGAGGCTTTGGCACAGTTCGGCGACAAAGGAGCATTTTGCTCTTTCACTGTTCCTAGTTCCGGTTCACAAGTTTCACTCTGGTGGAACCTGTAAACTCCTGTGAATCTGGCGCAAGCTTGACGAGCCATTATGGTAAAACCTGTCAACACTCGTGAGTTCATGAAAGAGCTCTCTAGATGGGTATTCACGTCAATGGGATATAGCAGGAGTGCGAAATGCCCCCTCCCCGTCGCCAAGCTCTCTCGGAAGAAGGAGGTATTTTCTAGGAATTGATAATGCAACTACTAACCGGGGCCATTTTAAGGTACAACGTTAACCTCGATTTACCACCAAAACAGCGTTGGACCGAAATCTCCAAGGCTTACACTGGACAGATAAAAGATCTTATTTCGGTAGGGTATTATCTGGTTCACTTGTTAAACTTGCAAGCAGCAAGCACGATGACTGGAGGCGGGCGGTTACTGCCAACGCCATTGGTGTAAGGGCTGCCAGAGAGCGTTTGGCCACATCCCTTCCAGCCCTTACACCTGTAGCGTTGGCAGTTACCGCCCGCCCCCAGCCATCGTGCCCACTGCCTTTGATGAATTCAAAGTAATAACTAAATTAACTCTGATCCAGGTTCTCCTCGATCTTGTCGAGCCTTTCCTTCCGAACGCTCTCGAATGGGTCGACCTTTATTTTGGCAATCTTGAGGAACGGCTCCCACAGCCGTACAAGGACGAGATTCAGGTCAGTTCCACTTTCAGAACAACAAGTTCGCGCCAATGACTTTTAGTGGGCGGGGCATTCATGGGGTTTGGGACTTTTGCTTAGGCCTCAAACTGAGGGGCTGTCGAGTCAGTTTGAAGTGCGGTGAGTCTCAAGAAACTCAGACGTGGTCGAATCAGTTTAAAGAGGGGGGGGGGTGAGTCTGTTCGAATGACTGTCATTCCAGCAAAGCATGGGAAGCTCTTCATCGAACGAAATCCGCCTCGAAAACCTATCAACCGAGCCTTTCTTTTCTCTTCGAATTGAAGGACAAGAGAGTGAGGCTCATTTAATTCATACGGCATACGCCACGCATTCCGCTGGCTCTCGAATTTGTTGAGAAGTACCAGTATGCCATAAAAAGATCTGAATGAGCTCCGAGTCTTCGATCAATCCCTTTCTGGGATGCGGCACGCATTCTACTTCCATTCAGAATCGTAGTGGCTTATTGAATGCGATGTGGCCTATACAATGACTTGCGGGGCCAGCCGATGTACAAGTCAGTGTTTTATCCTCCCAGACGAATCTGGTACCAATTTACCGTTCCTGAAGGGTAGAAGGCTAGGTTGGCTTAGGCGGGAGCTGACACGGGCAGTGCGCGTGGTAAGCGTGCCCTTTGATACTACGCCACTCCACCCATAGAACAATTTAGCTCTAAGAATTTTCAGTCGATCGCGGACGATACTGGCATACCAGTTGGTCAGATTGTCATCTATAATATCTTCTACGAGATTTTCACCGTATGCACCTCCATCATTGCTCAAGATCCCAACGGCCATATCATCCATGCACGGTAACGTTCATCGCTTTATCCCCTGCCCCCTCCTCCTAAATTTCATCATGTGTGCTATTCATATTTTGTTAAGAAATCTCGACTTTGGCTTGTTCCTTGGATGGAATGCTGACACTCATGAATGGAAAATTTCGAGCGCTTTGAGGAAGATGATCATCAATGTAAACTGGATTAAAGACGGTGAGATTGTACTGTCATCAACTGATGGCAGAAGCCTGCGGGTAGACAAAAATAATCATGAGTTTTGCGCACGCGAAGATACAGTGCTAAGGGGGACGGTCAAGACAATGGTAATTCGCCTCGATCGTCGCGCGCGGCTTACCGTGCGGCGGTGCGCGGCAAATTTTTGGTGTTCATCGGTTGGTCGACTGGATTCCATACTAACATGGATCCAAGCGAAGAAAAGTCTCCATGATGGCATCAGGTTTTGTTCTCCCTCTAACAATCAACTTCTGACGGCCAGATAGGGCAAGTCGTCTGTCAGGCGCAGCGTCGCTCGCTAAGCCCTCCTGTGTGGCATAAGACGATTACCTTGAGAAATACACCTACTTCAGGGCAGCATAGGGCCTCACGGCGAGGGATGCGTACTCCCTTGCCGAGTCTCCTCTCTACGTCTCTGCCTCTCTTCCGTCTGGACCCTCGCAGCCATCGTAGTTATGCCCCACAGTGCCCTCAGATATGCACTGTGAATCACAAGCAAGAAACGCAGCATGTACTGGCAAGACAATCGGACGCTGTTTGCCTAGAAGGGGCATTTTGCATTTTCGCCAGTTCCTTTTGTTAGTTCGTGGTAAATAACAGTTGTCACGTCTGTGGTACAGGTAGATTCCTGTGAAGTTGCAAACTGCTCGAAGCGAGCCATTTTGGTCGCAAGAATTAACAGGTCTTCACAAGGTCAACTGTACAGTTCGCAGAGCATTATTTGGTGCCCCCACCAAGCGGAATGGATCGGAGAGAGAGAGAGAGAGAGAGAGAGAGAGAGAGAGAGAGAGAGAGAGAAGAGAGAGAGTCACTGTTACACCCACCAGCGCGGTGAATTACGATCATCGGCGCATTCCGCTTGGTGGGGGCACCGAATAATGCTCTGCGAACTGTACAGTTGACTTTGTGAAGACCTGTTAATTCTTGCGACCAAAATG